AGGGGAATGCAAGACTCGATCTCTGTACCAGTAAGTTTCCAGCCCGATTCTCTCCCTAGTACTAAACCTGCACATTAACAGACTTGCATTTAAGAAGCATTTTTGGCTCATCCTTCCCCCCATACCCCAAACACCCAGTCTCTTCTCTACCTCTCTGCTCCACCACCACAAGGTTCTTGATGTTCCCCTTCCTGCTGTCCTCACAGAAGACTGAACATCACTTCCATTCTCAGGCTCAACACCTTGAACACCAACCTTTCACCTGGGTGCTACCCCCAAATTATGATCTCCAAATTAGTAGTGGTTGGAAGTGACATGTAGTTGTCTAACTATACCCAGTTTTGGCTCTGAGACCCCTTAAATAGATGTAAGCAGCCTGGACTTCCTCTAACACTCAGAAGAACAGAAATGGCTCAGTATTCCAGCTGCTGAGAACAGAGACACTAGGTCTCAACTCCCACACGTGCAAAGATCATTATTGTGATAATCCAGACACTCACTCCTCATATATCGGCAGCAATGAGAATGTTAATCTGACAGACAGGATTACTGTCTCAGCTCACACCCTGCCCATTCACAGGCGCCTTCAACGTTACCAGAGTTCAACGAGCTGCTCCCAGCCAACTAGTAAGATTTACCTCCATTTACCTTTTAGCTGCATCTGGGGACTTGGCAACAATAACTGCATTCCTATAATCCGGGATCTGGATTAGGAGAGAGAAAGGATACAAAACATTTATATGTTTTGAACTATATACGAGGTAAGTACTTGTTATTAACATTACAGTTGGGTCCAAGAGGAATTATGTCTACTGCTTTAAAAAAAAAAATTACTACAACTGCCACATACTAATATTCAGAGGGAGGTAAGGTAATCATACTGACTCAAGCTGAGATGGAAGGCCAGGCACCTGCATATTATGCCCCCAGATATAAGACAGTATTCGAATGAAAGAATAATAATATTTTATGGAACATAAAACTTATGGAGCTTATGACTGCGGGTCACTTGGCTTTTCTATGCCACCATTCAATACTGGCTATTCAAGCTACCCTATTTTCTTGCATACGACACACACTGTTTCCCCAAACTTCATAAATTGCTGGAAATTGGGGGGCACATTATAAGTATGGAAAGAAATATGATAATAGCATTTTTTGCCTCTGCAGGTCAGGGGGGGGCAGGGGAGGGGTCTGAAAGTAATGCTACAGTGGGGCTCCCTAGCTGCTGGCTGTGGACACTTTCTCTTTTCTCCCAGCAGAGATACTGTTTCAGAGGCAAGGAAAGATCTTTCTCTCTTCATTCTACCTTTAAAAAAACCTCCCCAAAAACCAACAAGGTGCACTTATTTTAAATCATGCTGTAGGTGAGAAAATGTGGTATGTATAGTGGGCACAAAGCTGGATGCAGCATATCTAAGGCAAAGAGCAAGAATTAACCAGCTCTCAGCACATCCTGTCCAAGGCGAGGAATGGGAGAAGGAATGGAAAAATATTTTTTTTGGTTAAGGTTCATTGGGATTGCTCCCTATCTTTAATGAAATCTGTGAGGTACAGGACCTCTTTCCAGTCCCTCATTCAAGATACCTGAAAAAGGGAAGCTACACTCACTGTACTCAATTTCTCCATACTGAATGAAAGGCTGAGCTGGTTCTACCATGCTATTCTGGAGAGCCTGGGCACTCCATTAAAATCCACCATTCTTGCAATCTGCATCGTGATGTTGGGATGCAAATCAGTCTTTTCAATAGCTTGGTAAAAAAAAAAAAAAAAAAAAAAAAAAGGCTTCCTCCCCCTGCCCCTTCGCACAGTGCTCCTGGAAACAACATGACAAAGTCCATCAAGAACTTAGGTAACTCAGTCATTCACTTGAGACTGGGGACAGAACAGCTTAAGAAGATTTAAAAAGCGATTAAAAGGCATGAATACAAAATACCATATCAAATGATGCTAAGAAAACGACTGAACACAACAATGAAATTCATGCTTCAGGACACAGACTAATTTTCAGTTTGGGATCAGGAAGTAATTGCCAGTGCAGTTGAGCATTTCTTAATTTGGTGAGTTAAAGAGCTTTTCATCTGTCCTGAGAAGCATGCGATATTCTGCCAGAGACAAACACAGGAAGAGAGCAACTATTGGTCTGGCCCAAAAAAGCAATTCCCACATAAGCAAAAGAACAGACAGTGCAATCGTGTTACGTGAGCTACAGGTTAAACGCCATCTAGTATCAACAGAACTAGAGTAACCTCACTTCTTCCTGTATATACTGAAGCAAGAATGGGGATGCCCTCAGGTTGTCTACTGGAAAGCTGAAGAAGCCTTGGATTTCCTTTTGATGAAGGTCCATAGTGATAATGTGCGTTAAACCTAAACAAAACACAAGAGGTCATGATGTCTCTTCTACCCCAATGGCAGTCTCATGAATTCTGAAATTATGTCCAAGTTTCTCTACTCATCTACTTGTAATATTTTAATGCCAGATTTTAACAAAGGTAATTGCTAGCCAAGTTAAAGGCTTTCAAAAAATACCGACAATCAATAACACATGCATAAAAACAACACTAGAGCAAGCATAATGCAGGTGGATGAATACAGCATTTCCACTCAGGTATGTGCTGAATATTCCCTAGATGGAAGAAATCAGCTCCTAGATGGCTCAAGGACTGGAAACTTGTCCCCAGACTGGAGAAAAAAAAAGGGAATGAAAGTGCAGCTGACTCTTGAGATGAACAGCAGGTCAGCAAGTGATGGAGGCTGGTGTTCTTGGCTATCTCCTTGCGGGGCACGCACCTGCTTTGGCCAGCATAGAAGCCAGCAGTTTGCAGACGATGGAGCCCCTCTTCCTCATTTTGCTTTGCTTGCTGTAGGGGAAGTAAGGGATGACCCCAATGATATTCCTGGCACAGGACGTCTTCAGGGCATAAGCCATTATCAGCAGTTCCATGACAGCAGTGTTCACATCCCTGAAAGATTTAAAAACCATCAAATCTGAATGTTGACAAATTCAGATTAAAAATCCTCTCCCCAGTAACCCACTGCTTTACCAATCCTTTTGACAAGAGCGTGTGCTTGGTCTGCCTGGCAAAACAGATAGCAGTAAACGGGGCAGCTCTGACTGGCTAACAGATAGCCCAGGGTCAGCCTGCATTGTCAGCATGTACAGACATCTGCTCTCCAAGGAGAACCTCTCCTGAAAGTGATTTAACCCTGGTTATGCCCAGATTATTATTTTTTTTAATTTGGGAGAAAAAAAGATGACTAGCTGTATGCTTAGGGTGCATCCAGACGAGCACGGACATTTGTTTCCACAGAGACAAGCAGCAGCAGTACACCTTGTGCTGCTGCTACTTGTCCCCAGGAACACCTGTGCCATGCACTCTCTGGGGCATGGCAGGTTACCCCAGGTGGGGTAGGGGAGGCTGGAGCCAGCAACCATGCTGGCCCAGGCAGCCTTAACTGGGGGCCTCCCAGGGTTGCAGTCATAGCAGGAAGGCTGGTCAGGCTGTGGTTTGGGACTGCACGCGCTGCCACCACATGCATCACCCCAATTTTTTTTAACATGGGTTTGATCCCAGGATCTCCTGGGGTCAAACCCTCTCCTGTGCTGCAAGGTAACAGCGTGGGGAATGCCTGCATGTGCGGTATGTGGTGTTGCAGACAGGTCTGCATTGCCACAAACCACATGTCCACACTCACCTGGATGCAGCCTCATGGTCGCTCCTGGGAGAACAGCAACTCTCCCAGGAGAAACTGAATTGCTGTACAAAGTTAAGTACCATAGCAACTCACCAGCTAAGGATTTATCTGCATTAATCTTATTTTAAGCCTTGCTTGGGAGAGAAGAAGAGAGTGGCATCAAAGATTTTCTTGACATTTAGTAAGCTCATTCTCCACATATCCTGTTCTGGTCTATCATAAAAAAAAGCTTTGATGCTGCTGTTCAGAAGAGAAAAGCAATTTAGACCCTTATGGAAAATGAACACTTCGGGCAAAAAAATGCAGCAATATTCTTGGGAACAAAGATGTCCCTTCCCAACCTACTATACCAGCTATCCCAGGGGAAGTTCTCCAATGATGCATCAATTCAGCAACAGCAATCTATGTAGCTACCTTAGGGGACAACTCAGCTGTGTACTCTGACAGAGGCAGGAGAAAACACAAATTAAGCCAATTCTTGTGGGACACGGTAGCACACATCCTGGTGATGACTCCACTCTTGAGCTCCCAGAATGCATCCGTCCCCTCCAAGAAGAAGAGCCACTGTAGATGCCTCAAGCGAGCAAGTGCTGCTTTCTAACACAGTGCCCTTTTCCCCCTCTAACCTTCCTGGCTGACGTGCCCAAGATGTGACAGGCCATTCACTTTGCGCCTGGCTTGTCCAGTGTTATACAACTAACCACTTCCATCACTCTTTCTTCATTACTTCCCCGTCTCTCTGTAAATTAGCCTCCATTTGTGCTCCTTCATTTACAAACATTTGAATTGGTTTGTTACCCGGCTGGCTCGAGACGCAATCCTATTTACGCACAAAAAAGCTTTGTTTGCCCCAAAACACGGAGCCAAGAATTACATAAAACTCAACCCCCCCACCATGTAGAAAGACAAAGGACTATTTCTTTCCTTCAGTGGCTTCATCAGGGCACTGGTACTAGAAGGTGAGAGCAAGATGATATTAGTGATCAGTATTTGGCTGTTTTGTTCCCCTCTTAAAACCTGGTTATAAATTAATACCGAAGCATGCTTTAAGAAATCTTTTCTTGCATTATAATTTTAAAATCACACGGACAAAGCAAATAGGATAAGTCCCACTGATTTAAATTTAAAAACCTTCCATAATGGAGGTAATATCTGCTTCTTCAGAAAGACCCCTTGTGATAAATCAAGGCAGGACTAATGGAGAAAGAGAAAAAATCTTCAGTGGCAAGTGCATCAGAAGTTTCTAGATTGAAGCTATAAAGCCAAATGGTTCTTGTTTGTGCAAGCTGTCAAAATAATTAAAATTTACTTGGCTTGTCGTCATCACTTCTGCCTCCTTGCATTCATCTTATCCTATACTTGCTTCCATTCTGAAGGCAATACTGAAAAAATACCTATTCCCCTTGAAACCTGCACAAAAGGTTTTCTGCAGTTGGCATACTTTGAGTCTGTGGTTTTTTTTTTTTTACCAGGGACTTTTAATAACCATATATTTCTTCCCTCCTCTCTTTACCTACTTACTATCCTCTGTAGTGGACCATCACCCATTGCTAGCACTGACAGTCTCCTGGTCTCCAGTATCTTTTATTCTTATCCCAGACCTCTACAATGTCTTTCATGCAAAATTCGCAGAGATTATTAATTTTAGTGGCTAAGCAACCAGCTCAACAAAAGAGCAATTCTATATACAGTGTATGCTAACACTTCCGGAGCTGTGCGGCTCATTCCACTTTTATCCCACCAACCAGGTCACTTTCAGCTTTTGCCATCTCCATTTATCATCAACTCTTCCATCTTGCAAATACTACTGTTTCATCAGGTATATAAAAATACTGGCATAGCAAATTGTGTTGCTTAAGATGATCACGGTGGAAAAATAAGAATGCAATCTGATACAGCCCCCTCCCCTCGCACTCCTCAAAAGCAGGCTGAAATGTAATGTAGGAGAGTCAACCTTCAGCCCACCCTTTTGAAGCAATGTAGTAAAGTACAAACACGGCGGAGGAATAAGAGGTTGCTTCCCTGCACCACCATGATTCCTCATCTGGAGGGCCTGTCCCTTTGGGAAAGTGTTTAAAGACAGGAAAAGTACTTCTGTTGCTCAGAATGATTTATTTAGGTCCAAAGAAATGCAGCGGACTTGACAAGGTGACAGTGAGACATTGTTTTTCTTCCTTTCTGCTCAAGTGTCTTTGGATTCGACCTGGGGGAAGTGGGCAGCTGAGTCCCCCAGGGCTCAGTCCTTGGGCCCGCACTGTTCAATTTCTTTATCAGCAATTTGGATGACAGGGTGAAAAGCAACCTGTTCAAATTCGCTGATGATACCAAAATTTGGGGTGAGGTGGGCATGCTAGTAGGGAGGGAAAGACTGCAGAAAGACCTGGATAGGTTGCAAGGGTGGGCTAACAAAAACAGGATGCGTTTCAATACAGACAAGTGCAGGGTGCAGCACTTGGGCAGTAGTAACTGGCAACACACTTATAAGATGGGAAACTCCCTTCCTGAGAGCATGAAGGCAGAAAGGGATCTTGGAGTCATCGCTGACTCCAAGATGAACGTGGGCTGACAATGCGAGGTCATGGTCGGCAGGGCTAACCGGACCCTATCGTGCATCCACAGGTGCATCTCAAGCAGGGCCAAGGAGGTGATCCTCCCCCTCTACGCGACACTGGTCAGGCCGCAGCTGGAGTACTGTGTCCAATTCTGGGCACCCCACTTCAAGAGGGATGTGGACAACATCGAGAGGGTCCAGAGGAGGGCCACCCGCATGATCCGGGGACAGCAGGGCAGACCCTACAATGAGAGGCTACGGGACCTGAACCTGTTCAGCCTTCACAAAAGAAGGCTGAGGGAAGACCTGGTGACCATCTATAAACTCACTAGGGGGGACCAGAAGGGTTTGGGGGAGACCTTGCTTCCCCCAGCGCCCCCTGGGATAACAAGGAATAACGGCCACAAATTGTTGGAGAGTAGGTTCAGATTACACATCCGTAAGAACTACTTCACAGTCAGGGTGGCTAGGATTTGGAACCAACTTCCAAGGGAAGTGGTGCTGGCTCCTACCCTGGGGGTCTTTAAGA